CATTAGCACCTCTAGTAATATATTTACTGAGAAAAATGTTGACATGTTCAATACTTATTTTACCTGCTGTATGTGACCCATCACATCGAAACGAGGATTAAGTCCAAAAGTGATAAATGGAGAAATGGGCAAATATAGTGTTTTGACTAAAATGTTAACAAAAATTGCATTTTGTCAAAACATAATGAATAAATGCTTTATCCGTGTGTCATTTGAATGAACTGTCTGAAATATAATCATAAAACAAAAATTTTAAGCACTTTTTTGAGCAGCAGCAACAAAAAACCCGATTTTGAGGAAAAATGCCTTAAAATTTTGAGATTTTCCCTGTGAGTTAACAAAGTGTTGTTTCTTTTTAGCTGGGAAATCTCAATATTCAAATATAATTTGAGATTTCCTCTTTATAAAGACATCAAAAATTCCTCATTAAAATGCTATAACATTAGGATTCAGACTAAATATTTATGTATTATTGTAACCAACAACACAAATTCAGTCATACATATGGGTTTAATTACGATATCAGAATGATCCAGGTATCAAAATGTAGCTTTTAAAGCCACGAATCTGAAAATGTAGTTGGGTCATTTTGACTAAATTTGACTTAACCCTCATTTTGATATGACGGGTCACAAATATCAAGGCTGCACCAAACTTTTCCCCAAAATAAAAATCTATCTGAGGGCTGCGGCCAAATACAATAATATAATTCATAAAATACAAATACTTCTTAAGTACAGTCCTTTCTATTATGTCCTGCTGGAGTGTGACATGATTTGTTTGTGTACAAACTAATACGGTATCAGAATTTTATATATTTATACTTCTCTTTCAACCACAATTAAATTCACTCTATAGGAGGCACAATTTGTATGGATAGTATTTATTTTTTACAATAACAAGCTGGAATGAAAACAAGCAAAAATAAAATAAAAGTAACGACTTTCTAATTCTTACCTTCTTTAAAAATGTAAGGAGTAGAAAGTACAGATAACTGTGTGAAAATGTAAGAAGTAGAAGTAAAAAGTAGGCTGAAAAACAATTGCTCAAGTAAAGTACAGATACCAAAAAATTCTTCTTAAGTACAGTAACAAAGTATTTGTACTTAGTTACTTTACGTCACTGTTCAGTTGTGTGTTACTGCAACCAACAGATGAACATTTCTTCTTTCTCACCAGCTTCTGAAGATGTTTTTGTCCATTTGCATCTTGTTTGATCACTGATGGATCTGAATGAAATTCTTAGAAAGCAATCATTGGATAAACGTCTAAAACTAAGGACCTTCAAGATGGCTGTCGCAGCTGAGAGTTATTCACAATGTATAGTATTTAATTGTAATGATCATTTAAGGTAAAAACACTGAATTTGTTATTGATTAATCTTTTTTTATGACCGTGTCTACGTCTGCTGCTGCTGAAGCCAGGCTCACAAGATGATTGTGTCAATTTCTGACCCGGTTTTCTCCTTCCGACAATCCTAATGACACTCAGATTCCTGTGATGTCACTAAAGATAACCTTATGAGAAGTTCCTTGTGTGTGTGGTGGGGTAAAAGTAATCTAGTTGGCTCAGAAGGACATTTGTACCGCTCCAATCTCCATTCAGGGATGTTCAACAGGTTGGATTGCCATGGTCTGATGTCCCAGATTGTGTCCCTCTCAGACAAACGAGCTGGCAGAATGTGACGTGTAACCAGTCAGGAAGAGAGGTGGCAGAAACACGGAGGGTAATCCAATATACAGAAGACAAAACAACTGCC